TAAATGAACTGTTGTAAGTCAAGAACTACCTGCATAAGGAAAAGGTGGATTTACTTAATAATTTGATGTAATGACTGTTTGACTACTGTTCTTATGGTTGTGGGTGCGTGCCTGCACACTGTTCTTTGTGTGCTGGTCGACTTTATTTCATTGCTTTGGTTTCTGTTGCTTAAGATTGAGCAAGATTCCGACTAGCAGTGCCTGATGCAGATTCCATTCTCTCCCACTCCATTTTCTCTCACCTTTGGAGCCTACGGTCATTTATTAACAAAATGGCTGAGCAAACCAGAAGTGATGAACCCAGACACTTCTGTCCTTACGCATTCATCTGTGAGACAGACTGGCTAATAGCAATAGCACTTAGACTTACATACCACTTCATAGTGCTTTTACAGCCCTCTCTAAGCAGTTTACAGCATCTACATATTGCCCCCAACAATCTGGGTCCTCATTTTACTGACCTCAGAAGGATAGAAGGCAAAGTCAATGTTGAGCCTGGTGAGAGAGTTGAACTGTCAAACTGCAGCTAGCAGTCAGCTGAAGTTGCCTGCAGTACTGCATTCTAACCACTGCGCCACCTCAGCTCTAAGCCCTTTTCTCTTAAGAATAGATGAAAAGCTCACCTCCTCAATTGTAGATAGAAGGTGGGAGCTGGACCTCAGGAAAAGCCAAGGATTTCCCCAATGAGAAGTACTCCAGGGACACAGTGATGAGACCAAGAGTGCCTCCTGGAGATCAAGAAGCAAAGAGATGTGTAGGACACAAACCAGTCTCTTACCTTTCTCTCTCACCTTCTCTCCCCACCCATCTTTTGGCAGTAGCTTTCCAATCCCCATGCCCTCTTTGATCCTATACCTGATATTGCCTGCTGCAGCAATGATGCCCTGGCTTGCAGTTGGCCTTAGGATCAGGACCAGATTAGCATACTTTTCACACATCTCCTATTGCTGTTCCTAATCCCTCTCCCCCCTCCCCATCAGGCAAACAAGAAATGGCTTTGGAGGCACAGAGCCCGTGGCCGGAAGGGAGAGAATTGTTCTGCAGCACTTGAAGCTTTTCCGATCACTAACTTCCCTCTGAACCAGTGTTAGGCTGGCTTCTAGGTGAATGTTCTGTTGTGAGAAAAAGTCCTCCACAAAATGGAAAGCAACCCATCTTGGAGCTGACCCTAGTGTTGTGTTAATTAATTAATCCTTGCAGTTATGAGTGTGAATTGGATATTGGATATAAGAGCCGAGATGGCGCAGTGGATAGAGTGCAGCACTGTAGGCTACTTCAGCTGACTGCTAGCTGCAGTTTGGCAGTTCAAATCTCACCAGGCTCAAGGTTGACTCAGCCTTCCATCCTTCCAAGGTGGGTAAAAGGGGGACCCAGATTATTGGGGGCAATAGGCTGACTCTGTATAAACAGTTTAGAGAAGGCTGTCAAAGCACTGTGAAGCAGTATATAAGTCTAAGTGCTATTGCTATAGAACAGTGTCTGGGGAAAGTCCATACCCAGAACTTTTTTTCCAATTGGTTCCACTCAGAACAATATCCCCTGTCAAGTCTTAGGCACATGGAGCTTCCAATTTACCAATAAATAGTGCAGATATAATTCATGTTTATTGTAAGAGACAATCTCTGCTTATAGTTCAAAACTTAAATTGTGGTTGCTAAACTAGAGGCAATCCTCACTTAGCAACCATAATTGAGACCAACAATTCTATTGTTAAGCAATGTGGTTATTAAGTGGGAAATCATTACTGCGACAGACTTCCATCCTTACTTCCCATTTGGCTGTTACGTAAATCACGGTGCCCATTAAGCGAGACATCACGTGACAGCAATTTGCAATTTTACTTTCACATTCTCCCATAAGCCAATTGTGAAGCACACAAATGGTGATTATGTGACTGTGGGATATCACCATTGTCATAAATGCAAGAATTGGTCACAGAGCTGTTTTTAATAGTGTCTTAACTGGTCACTAAGTGAGGCAGTTAGTAAGCAAGTGCTATATATATATATATATATATATATATATATATATATATATATATATATATA